GTTTTTATGAAAGGTTTTTTTGTTGTTGTTTTTCTGTGAATTCAATTAGCAATGTTTGGAAGAAGAGAAGGTAGGCGAAGATTAGTGTGACCGGACTGTTCTAGGAAATAAATCCCAAATCATAGTCTGAAGTTTAGTAAATTCTCCCAAGACTATCATCGTGTATTATAGAATGACTTTGCTGGGCAGATGTCAAGGATGTTTTTTCTCAATGGGATGCGTGTAATTGTTGAAATGTGCACGATAGAATTTAGAACAGTTAGAAAATGGTCTGTTATTGGTCATTCAAGATCACCTAAATTGTAGTGAATTTTAAAGGATAAAAGACGACTGCATCTGAGTTGAAAGATTCAGCTAATTATGTGTGTGGGGGGTGGGAGCTTGGCAGGTAGTGATTCAAGATGTGCAGATCCGGTTACACACGAGAGATTGTGAAGACCAGCTCTGAGAAATAACCTGTGCCTCCTGCTTTGGTGGAAACTGAACTGGCCAATGGCTGGCTGGTGTGTAAAACTGTTGGATCTGCTCCCAAGACTGTTTAATCAACAGCTGTTTTCCCAGCTCAAGAAGTCTGCTGCTGCTTCCTCTGTCGACCGTTTGGTTGTTCTCTTGGTATCAGTGGCAGGAATGGACCTGATCCACAGGCCTATGAGGAGGGACATTCCCAAAGGTCTTCGCTATTTCCTTCCCTAGTGCCAGGAAGTACTATTCAGGTAGGGTGTGTGTGTGTGTGTGTGTGTGTGTGCGAGAGAGAGAGAGAGAGAGAGAGAGAGAGAGAGAGACCTAGAGATGCTAAACAGTGTCTGACTCTATTAATTACATTACATTGTTACCATCAGTTTGTTTTTCTCCTGCTTGGGATGTTGGTTATCTGCTGAGGTTTTAGGCAGTTGATTATGGCCACATGGTGTGTATTTTAAAAGATAAAAGATCTGACTTTTATGTTATGGAGAACCAATGCTCGTTGATTATTCTTTGTAGGTATTTGACCAAGTTTAGGAATCAAATCTCAGTGACAAGAATTTCAAATAAGTTGACTGTCATAAAGAAGAACTAGTCATTGATTAAGTTTGGGTAAGCACAGTGGCTCTTAACATTTCTTAGTCTTTTGCTTGCAATGGATTTGCTTCTGTATTGTCACATAAGGGTCACTGGACATGACTGTCACAGCAGTCACCAATACTGATAGCCTTGTTTCCTTTCTTTAACCGAAAGTAGTACTCAAAGCTGAACCCAAGAAAACTCCTTTTAAAGCAAAACAGGGAGAAAAACCCCTTCTGCTTTATTTCTAAGTCTTATGTATTTCTGGAAAAATGCTTTTATAACCTTTGCAAAAAGGCAGTTATCCATCTTTACATACCAAAAAGGTCAATTAGTTACATTATATTTTTACTATCAGTTTGTTTTGCTCCTGCTTGGGATGCTGGTTACCTGCTGAGGTTTTAGGCAGTCGATCATGGCCACGTGGCATGTATTTTAAAAGATGAAAGGCCGTCTGTATCTCTGAATGAAGCTGGGACCTCCTAGACACTATGTGATCAGAGATTCATCTTGGACGGATGTAAGCACCATCTGAACTGAGTGGATGGTTGGTAGCTTTCAAAAGCAGAGCCCTCTCCCCATCCGCTACCCACCCTACCACCACCCCACCCACTCTCTCCCCACTCGCCTCCATCTTTTTTTCCTAGTATGTTGATTGAATCAAGCTGGAGATTTTCAAGGAGCTGGGAAAAAGAGAAAGAGCTTTCCAGCCATTCCAAGGGAGTAAAACTTGTCCAGTCACCGTGAGATGTGTGGACTGAGGTCGCTCTTGAAGAGCTGGGATGTTGGCAGGCAGGGAAGTCATGTGCGCCGTCGGAGTCCTGCAGGACAAGTCTGCTCTTTTGTGTTCATGTGAGACAGAAATAAATTACTGACAAGAAAGCACAGACTATTTGGAACAAAATAATCTAAGCATTTACAGTTTGATAGACTTCGATGAATAACTTCAGTCTGCTCTGGGTTTTCTTTCCCCTCAATGTCAGGGTGGGTTCACAATGCATTCTCTGGTCTGTGGAGACAGTTTTCATGTGAGAGAACAGTACTTATTAGCTGTTGGGTTTCGGCCAGGGTTTTTTGAATCATTTTATTATTTTGGCAGCTGATTCGCTTGAATTCAAATGGGGGAAAAAGAAAGAGAAAAGAATAACTGAAAAGTGACTGGCTCCGACTTAATTGAAATAGTTGTCTTTTTGGCACGTTTTTACAAATACAGGGAGCTAGTCATTTAATTGGAACTCCAAAAATAAGTAATTTTATCATCTAATTATGGCATTAAGCGGTTTCATACTAGGTATTAAATGATTATCTAATAATCAAAAACAAGAAAATGTTACACCTGCCTTCAACTATTTAGGCTTCACGTCATAATTTTCTCTGCCATCAGAGGAGAAGGAAAACAAACGCCAAGCAATTTTCGGGTTCTCTTTCACGGTGGTGATCTAATTCTTGTCCCTGGTGAGGCAACTCGAGATTTGGCATGGGGTTCTTGAGTCTCCGAGGCACAGACACATATGCAGGGGTGTGACCAGCATTCATTTTTCCCTAAGGGATTAAGATGGATTTCCCTGACCCATGCTGGTTTTTTGGAATAATTCTTTGCTTGCCCACCCAACCCTAGAAGGGAGTTGACCCAGGATAGATCACCCAGGATATTTGTTCATAATTCCAAGTGAGGAGGAAAAAAAATCCAGATGGGAAGTGGTGAGTTTTTCTCTGCCCACCCCAAGAATCTGTATTTCTGTATGCGTGAAATACTGTCTTGTGAGAGAGAATCTGTTACTTTCTTATGACTCAGGATCAATTCCCTGAGGAGGGGTTTCTTCTTTACATTTGACTTTAGCCAAAAGTACATTAGGGAACCTAAAGTCAAAGGTTTATTTTTTTATACCCTTTTTCTCTGTAAGCAGTGCTACATAAGGCTGTAAAGAATTCCACAGGGCAAAATCAGAGCATCCCAGCCAAGAGAAATTCACACTATGGAGTATCTATATGGAAATTCACACTATGGAGTATCCCACTATGGTGGGACTTGCCCATGGGCATTGGACACTCTCATACAAACCACAGAGCTTGGATTTGGTCCTGTTTTATGAATCCACAGCTCTGCCAAGCAACAGGGACACACGTTTTAAGTCACCACTGCCAGCCAAGTGTAATTCTCACCAAAACAATTAAATATTTTAGCAGAGGCCTGAGTCTGGGCAGTTTCGCCCCAAGAGTCACTTGAGTGGCCTGGAGTCTAATTCCATTTTGGTGTCAAATGTGATGGTTCCTTTTCAGATCAGGAGGGACTATCATGGCAAAATACACGGCAGTCAAATGATTCTGGTGACATGTAGTGGCCCTCGTTAAGGTTAGGTTTAAAAGCGTTAGCTGAGAAATTTATGAGATACATGCATGGATCATTGTATAATGCTCATTCTTAGTGATTAGAAAAATAATTCATGCTCACTCTAGAGAACTCAGAAAATATGTAAGAACATATAGGATAAAATATTACCTCTCAGTATCCTGTCCCTCAAATAGAAACTCTGTATAAGATTTTGCTTTGTTAACTTTTGATCTTTTACACACACACACACACACACACACACACACACACACACACACACACATTTTCCCACCTCTCACTGCTGTATCTGAGAGTATGTGTAAAATTAGGATCTATGTATTCTAATACTATTTCTCTTTTCCTTATATATTCTTCAAAGATAACATATTTAGTGGTGATGTAATATGCCATTTGTCTGGCTAGATCATAATTTCCTGAACATATGCTCACTCTCTAGATTGTTTCCCATTTACTACTAGTATAAATAGTATTTTTACAGAAAACGTCTCTGATTATTTTTTTAGGAATTTTGAGGTCCAAGGGAAAGAATTTTTGAAGCTCTTGAAATGCATTGTCAACTGTCTTCCAGAAGGTTACTTCCTTTCACTGGCCATGTCTGTAGTTACCTGTCTCACCCATCATTTGCTAATAGCAAGCGACATCTTTGATTAGAGATGGATGTGGGTTGGGGAGAATGAAACACCCTCTAAACGTCAAGTGTTTTATTAAACAACATCCATATGTGCCTGGCATAGTTCCTGGCACTGAGTATACAGAAACCAAAACCCTGTCCTCAATGCGCTGACATTTCTTCTAGGAAGAAAACAATACAATACATAAGTACATGGTGTAGAATGATAGACTGTAAAAAGTGTGATGAAGAAAAATAAATCAGGGAGGGAGATGGAAAGTGAAGGCAGGGACAGAGGATGAGGGTGTATTCATAGTGTGCACACACTGCTGGGATGCTGGAATGTCTCCATTATTGAGGACATGGCTGGTTTCTTATAAGAGGCTACTTTGAAAGCATTGCGTGCCAACATTCAAATTTAATATCTGGGGAATTCTGAAATCTTTGACCATAGCCAGTATTAAATGTAGACTTTTGATAGTTTTGATGGGTTAGAGTGATAAGATTCTTCATTTTTTTCCCTCCAGTTCCACTTCTGTTAATTTTATTGAGTTAGTAATAACAGCATGATGACATTTTCTAAATTGAGGGTCGATTATATGTTTAGGCATCTAAGGTAACTAGACCAAAGCTTCTCAATGACATCTCATTGCTAAAGAATAGACATTTGTGGAATAAAGGCTCTGAGCACATCTATTTTCCACTTAGAGTTTATCTTTTTCTTTACCACCAAAATGATTTCCGCTATGGAATCCAACAGAAACTGTTGAGTCTATTCCATCAGATTGTGATATGATGCCATGGTCCTTCTCCCTTCCTTATTTATTTTTCTTCATCATACCTTTTACAGTCTTAACATCCTATACCTTACTTATTGTATTGTTTCTCCCTAGGAGACATGTAAGCACATTGAGGACAGGATTTGGGTTTCTTTAGTTACTTGGGTTTTCTTATGTGACTCTTTGACTAACAAATCCCCACCCTCCATTTCTGCAGCAATATGAGAACTGGAGACCCAACCAGCCGGACAGCTTCTTCTCTGCTGGAGAAGATTGTGTTGTCATTATCTGGCATGAGAACGGTCAGTGGAATGATGTTCCCTGCAACTACCACCTCACCTACACCTGCAAGAAGGGAACAGGTAACAATTGCCCCATTGAAAACATACCTAATCCTCATTTGAGTTATCAAGAGATCCAGGAAGCATGAGCTTCATTTTTTGAGACACAAATTAGATCCATCAATATTGTCACCTCTCTTTGCTGCGGAATGTTTCATGCCTCCAGTACAACTGAAAAATTTGTTTTCAGTAATGTTTTCATCTTCAATTCCAGGTGCTTACTGGAACAATGTGGCAATAGTGTAGAATACTGGCTGGTGATATTTTTAAGAGAAACAACTGCCAGCCCAGGGACCTGGAAACTTTTTAATTTTGATGAGGAAAACATGTTAAAACTTTAGATGTCAACAGTTAAAAATTAGGATTTATTAAAAAATTATCTAGATGTTTGACTTTTAAAAAAATAAGAAAACCTGGTACAATCTGGTACAATTTGAAGTGGAACCACTGCCCCCTGGTGGGCACTTGGTCTTCAGGTCATCGCATCCTTGTTCATTTCTTTCCTTGTTGGGTTTGGGCCATAATCCTGAAAGACACAATTCCCAATGCCATAATCTTGAAAATTCAAAATCCCGAAAATGTAATTCTGGAAAAAATAATTTTAATAGTTCTTTAAAAGTCATCAATATTTTTGAAAATGTGGGGGTAGGGTGGGAGGGTGGGGAGGTGGGATTGGCAGTAGTGGGGATCTGCCTGGGGAACGGGGGACACACCTCATCCACAAGGGTACCTGCACAATGAATATTTGTATGCCTACCCCTGAATTGTACCCCACAATTTTAAAATAAAAAATTTAAAGGTGAAAGAAAAAGACATCAACATTTTTAAAAGGTTTATGGGAGCAACATATGAAAACATGACAGAACACTTCGATGGCCACTTTCCACAATAGAACAGGTGATGATAACACCCACTCACTCAGGTATCCACCCGGCAGCTGGGTGGGCATAACAGTTGTGAGCAGACCACCCATATTCATAGAGAAATGTATAAACTCATATCAGTATGACTGGTAATTGCATGCACCCAGCTTTGTAGCTGTGGTCATCAGAAATACTGTGACAGACAACATAAATCTTTGGATGAGATTGATCAAAAACTGTCATGAGGCGGGGCATGGTGGCTCATGTCTGTAATCCCAGCACTTTGGGAGACCGAGGTGGGAGGGTTGCCTGAGCCCGGGAGTTGGAGACCAGCCTGGGAAACATAGTGAGACTTCGCCTCTACAAAAACAAAATTAAAAAGATTAACTAGGCATGGTGGCACATGCCTCTAGTCTCAGCTACTCAGGAGGCTGAGGATCGCTTGAGTTCAGAAAGTTGAGGCTGTGGTGAGTAATGACTGTGCCACTGCACTCCAGTCTGGGTGGTAGAATGAGACCCTAACAACAACAAAACAAAAAACAAACAAAAAAAAGCCTTTCTTGGGTCACCACCACATTTGCAGTCACTCAGAGAGCTGAGGTTTTTCCCTCCATCTCCTCTGATTATAAGAGAAAATTTATCTTTCACAAATGCAGACACACAAAAGCACATTTCCTTGATTATTGAGGAAGCTTCCATGTTTTTATATTGAGAACCAGGGAAACCGGCTTGTAACTCTCATCCCAGGCCAGAAACCTCCAGATCCATGAGACTGTGGGTCTAAGTGCTGGAGCCCAAAAGCCTGCAAACCTGGAGTTCTGGTATCCAAGGTTGCAGAAGAAAAATCTGTCCCAGTTCTCAGACTAGCTTGCTTTCTGTATCTGTTCTCTCTAGGCCCCAGCTGATTAGATAGTGCCCACCAACATGAGGGCAGATCTTCCCCACCTTGTCCACTGAGATCACTCACTGATCTCCTCTGGAAATACCTCCACTCACTCCCCCAAAATAATGATCAATTAGAGTTCCAGTTATTCCTAATCTCATGAAGTTGATTGACATCTAGAGTTAGATCCATAAGTCTACCCTTTGCAACTTGGCACCCATATGCATCTCATTTTTTAAATTTCTTTTTATTTTTTGGAGACAGGATCTCTTACTCTGTCACCCAGGCTGGAGAGTAGTTAGTGGCTGATCATAGCTCACCAGAGCCTCAAACTCCTGGGGTCAAGTGATCCTCCTGCCTCAGCCTCCCAAAGCGCTGGCATGAACCACCATACTCTGCCTGTATGTATCTCTTTAAACCATAATTAAATTTCCAAATAAAGACAACAGCAAGGGAAGACTTTCATCTAATGTGATACAGGTAACATTATGCAACTATCCTGCATAACTCAAAACACACTAATCCTTCCTGAAACTTCAGCTCTCAGGATTTCAACATTTGGGATTTTAATCTTTTGGGATTAGGATTTTTAGGATTTTTGATGTTAAGAGTGTTGTACTTTAGGAATTTCAGTCCTTAGGGGTTTTGATCCTTTGGAATTTTGGCATTTGGGTTTATGGCATTCAAGATTTTATCTTTCAGGATTATGATCGGCACTGGATTTTGCTAAACTCTGGTCTCTATAGGCATTTGAGTTTTTTAACCATGCCCTTAGAAGTTTATTCTATGCTTATTAACCATGGAACACATACCATCCTTATATCTGTAGTTGAATATTACAAGATATAATACAGTCAAAATATTTGTATTGTGATTTCATAATGAGAATTGTTTAGTTAGCATTAAACAGAAATATTTTAAAAACTATTTTTTTTTTGAGTTGGAGTCTCACTCTGTCACCCAGGCTGGAGTGCAGTGGCATGTTCACGGCCACCCCAGCATCAACCTGCTGGGCTCTGGCCATCTTTTTGTCTCAGCCTTCCAAGTAGCTAGAACTACACAGGCGTGCACTACCATGCCCAGCTAATTTTTTATTTATTGTAGAGACAAGATCTCACCAAGTTGCCCAGGCTGGCCTTGAACCCATGGGCTCAAGCAATCCACTCGCCTTGGCTTCCCAAAGTGCTGGGATTACAGGCTATAAAAAACTAATTTTTAAAAAATGTGTTGTTTTATCATTGGCCAATACATTTGAATTTCTAAGGCATGCTATGGAGTCTCCTCTAAACAAATAGAAATTCTGCAAAGTTTTCAAACTTGTTTGCAATTGATAATGGTGTTATAACATGAATACTCAGTCCTTAGACCCAGACTTTTACCCACCTCAAGTAAGAGCACGAAGTAGAAATGTAAAATATAAAACCTATTTATTTGTCTTTGAACACAACAGTAATAAAACTAAACATACACACTCCATGACTATTTTAGGGAAGACTTAAATACTGATAGAAAGAGAACACTGAGATACACACAGCCATAGTCTTGGCTGACTCTCAGCCATTTGCAGTGTGTTCCTCCTAAGGTAGCACTCATTTCTGATAGCCCTTCTACACAGGAGTCTTCCTGACCACCTGCCTCACTTCAGCATTTCTGCAATGGGACTCGTAAAAACAAGGAACCGAGTATTTGCTGTCTTCCTTTTCCAATGTCAGAAGTCTTTAACAAACTGTTTGTGTCTAAATGTCATGTTTGCCTTCTTAGGTCTCCCAGTGGTCCCTGCGGCCATGCTTTTCATGTGATGATCTAAACCTTCTTATATTTCCTATGGTATCATTTCCACCAGCAGGATTTTTCATCAGCAGAAATGCTGGCATTCTGGGTCAGCTAGTATTTACTTTGAGGGGCTGTCCTGTGCATTCAACATGTTTAACGTCGCCCCTGCCCTCTGTGTACTGAATGCCAGTGGCACCCCCTATATACACCTGGATTGTAACAAGGAAAAAGGTCTTTAGACTTTGCCAGATGTCTCCAGGAAGGTGTTGGGGAGATGAAATTATCCCAGGCTGAGAATCTCTTCACTACAGCTGAAAAAAACATTCACAAAAACAGCATCAGTGTTTGCATTTCCCAAAGGCAAATGAGTTTTGTAAAACATTAGCTCTACCTCATTAAAGAAGAAAAAAACTTATTCCTGAATTTTATCTCCCTCCTGGCTGACTTTTACGTATGTGCAATCAATTCTTAACTAACCAGTGCTCTAGGGAATTTTATACATGTTTATAGACTTTTGTGAAAGATACTCTTTTCTCCTTTCAGGTATTTCAAACTTACGCCTAAGAAGTTCTCCTTTTAATTAATGATGAAATACTTGTAAAGGGTTATAATACTACAAAAGGCATATCTTGGTGATTAGTGTGCACCAAGATATGCCTTTTGTAGATATTATAACCCTTTACAAGTATTTCATCATTAAATAAAAGGAGAACTTCTTAGGCTTCCTTCCAATACCATTCATTCACTTCCAACTCCAACCAGGGACAATGACTCAATTCCCTTGCTTTTCTCTCAAAGAGTATCATATGTGCTCGTATTCCTGAACAACAACTTGTTTAATTTTGCACAGTTTTGAACTTGATGTAAATGGAATTGTACTGTATGTATTCTGAGCTTTGCTTTGCTGTTCAGTGTTGTTTGTGAGATTTTCTCATGTTGATGCCTATATCTACATGTTTTTCCTTTTGTTGTTGTATAGTATTTCATTGCATGACTATACAACGTTTTATTTATCAGTTCTGTGTTAGTGGACATTTGAATTATGTTTGCTGTTTTTGCTATTATAAACAGTGTTTCTATGAACATTCTTGAGCTTGTTCTTGGTAGACTTTTGTGAGTTTCTGTAGTGTATATTTCCAGGAATGAAGTTGCTGAGTCTTAAGATACATGTGCCATCAAACTTACTATAAAAAACCAAATTATTTTCCAAAGTTACCAATTTGTGTCCCACCACCAGTGTGTGAGATAGATCCTTCCACTCCACATCTTCTCCAACATTTGATATTATTGGACTTTGAAATTTTTGCCTATCTCGTGGGTAAGATATGTTATCTCTTGTGATTTAATTTGCATTTTTGATACTTCTCCTGAATATCTTTTTATATACTTACAGGTGATTTGCAGCTCTCCTATTATAAAGTTTCTATTCATAATTTTTGCTATTTTTGAAAATTGGTTGCTTATCTTATACATAGTGATTTGTAGGAATTCTTTTTATATTCTGCCTACTAATCCCTTGACAATTTTGCATATTGTAAATATCTTCTTCCAGTTTCTAGCTTGTCTTTACCCTTAACCTATGGCATTTTTTGATGAACAGAATTCCTAATTTTTGTTGAATGTTCCTTTATGGTATGAACCTTTTTGTGTCTTAAGAAATCTTTGCCTACTGATAACCTACAGGTCACATCTGGCAGGCTTCCAAATATACTCGCTTGGGGGAGGGCTCATGATTCATGGCTTAAATCCTGTCCCTGAGTAAAGAACCTTATCATGAGTCCCTTAAGTCTTATCTTGAGTTTCTCAAACTGTTGATGTGCTGATTAATACGTAACCTACAGACACTGAAAAGGACACTGATTCGTTTCTGAATCATGAAGTTTTACTGATTATCTTGCACATAGAGCATTTTGGCCTATATGTCATTGTCTGTGGACAATGATTGTAACCTCCATGGAAGGCGCAGCTCTAGCATGAGGAGTTCCCTTCTTATAAACTCTTCTGTAAAAGCCTTCCAGCTTGTAAGAGGCTCTGGAACACACCCAGCTTTGTTGGTGTTTGTCTACCTGAGTCAGTCCTTACATTATAAAGATAGTCTGTATTTTTTCCTAAATGTTTCATGGTTTTGTCTTTTGTATTTATATATTTCAATGACTCAGAACTGATTTTTGATGTAGTCTCTGAGGTACAGAAACAAATGTATGATTATCCAATTGTTCAAGTGAAAAGCCTGCTTTTACTCCCCACTCGGCAATGTTGCTTCTGTCAAATATCAAGCATGTATGTGTGTATCTATTTCCAGTCTATCTTTCTATCCCTGCCAGTACCATACTCACTGAATTATGTTAGCTTTTTATTAAGTCTTAATACATGAATAGTTTTGGGAGAAATCTATGTAATTCTTTACTCACAACTTCTAATTTGTCAGCATAGGACATCATCTAGTACAATGAATTATCTAATTGATCATTTTAAACCTTCTGCACCACTTTGGTCTCATGCTATCTGACACATGCTGGTATCTGAACCCTAGCATAGGCTTTCCATATTACAAAGAAGCATGCAGGCATCCAGATTGGGGTCAAGCAGAAGGAAATTAGAGGAACTAAATATTTAAGTTAAACACACATTTGTCATCGCAAAAGAATAGGGTTGTAAACAGCCTTCTGAATATGTAAGTAAGTCTAATAATTATAACCTTTCAATGTTAGGATGTTGACATCCAAACATCTTGGTACTAAGGTTTCTGGTGCTCATTCACCCATTGGAGATTTGCATTAATTCATGAGAGAATATGGCATATGAGCATGCACTGTCAGCATTCTTAAACTATGAATAAGAAATTTCATTTAGGGAAAGTTATACACACACACACACACACACACACACCCCTACACACACACATAGGTATATTTTTGAGATGGAGTTTTTCTATATTTCTAAGGTTGACCCTGAACTCTTGTCCTCAAGCCATCTTTCTGCCTTGACCTTCTGAGTAACTTAGATTACAGGCATGACCCATAGAGCTCAGTAAAGAAAAAGTGTATTTGTTGCATTTTTATTGGAGATATGTGGCAAAACACAATAATTTAATAGAAGTTTTTAAAGTATATAATTTAAAATAAATACACTAATGGTAAATAAAACTGCAAGTTAATAAAAATTCAACTGAATCCATTTTTTCATCTTCTAGAATTTCAAAATCAAGAGGATTCTTTCACTTTTACTTTTAAGAAATTATTTTTCCTATTGCTGAATTTGTTGATATTTACAACTTTTGCTGAAAACTTAAAATGATAGTTAAGAATTCATTTACCCTTCTCAAGAGTTTAAACTTATATTTATTAAGGTAATTACAAAGCTGAGGCATAAATATTGTGCCCTCTTTCCTTTTGCCTCAATACAGAGGACTGAAAAGAGTAACTAGACATAAATTTAATCAGAAGACACTTTATTGATATTTAGGAGTGTATGTCCATATTTTGAAACAATAATATAATAATATAGATTGTAGGTTTTTTCAGGGGTGCAATGGTAATCGATAATTGTCACAAATCTGTTGTCCCAGATGAAGCACATAGAAGTGCAGGAGTGGTGGTGGAGACAATAAAACAGGCCACATACTGGCATAAGACAGGTGCTTTTCAATTTGAAATGTTTTCAGAATAGTAGTCCTGCCAGACGGGCAGATGAATATAAGACCATTTAGTTATATGGTTTTTTCATAAAACACAATGCAAAATGACAGGATCCAAGACTTCAACGAGGCCCAGAGCCTCATTATTTTTTTTCTTGAAAGATCTCATTTTCTTAATTCTGAATTATTGCCTTTGAGGAAGGTGCTAGGTTTTGGTACCATAAAGTGAGAGAGAAAAATAGGAGGCTCGTAAGAGTTGAAATACTTAGATTCCTTGGAAGTAACCCAGTCTGCTTTCCTCTAGTTGCTTGCGGCCAGCCCCCAGTTGTAGAAAATGCCAAGACCTTTGGAAAGATGAAGCCTCGTTATGAAATCAACTCCCTGATCAGATACCACTGCAAGGACGGTTTCATTCAGCGCCACCTTCCAACTATCCGGTGCCTCGGAAATGGAAGATGGGCCATGCCTAAAATTACCTGCATGAACCGTAAGTGGTCCTTTAGAAAGAATGGACAACCGTGCTATAACAACTACTAGACACCGCATGTTTCGGCTACGGTACGGCAGTTCAGGGTATGGAGCAAGTAATATTGTTGTGTTTTCTTTCTTTCTTTCTTTCCTTCCATGTAGCATCTGCATACCAAAGGACTTATTCTAAGAAATACTTTAAACATTCCTCATCAGCAAAGGACAATTCCATAAACACATCCAAACACGAGCATCGTTGGAGCCGGAGGTGGCAGGAGTCAAGGCGCTGATTCCTCGAATGGCGAACATGTGTTTTCATCATTTCAGCCAAAGTCCTAACTTCCAGTGCCTTTCCTATCACCTCGAGAAATATTGCCAGTCGGCTTGGGTTTTTGGACCACCGCCCAGTCCTTTTGGGTTGCTGTGCTCCCAAAACATTTCAAATGAAAGTTGAAAGTTGGCATTCAAAAAGAAAGCAAACAAAATGGAAGAACACAAGGGCAGAAAAGGAACCATCTCCAGCCTATCTAATTTCTCTAGTTTTCCGTTTGCCTCTGGCCCAGACCATGTCCTAATGCCTACCAGCCTACTGTAGTATTTAAAATGCTCAATTTCAGCAGCAATGGCCATGTAAATAAGATGATGTAATGTTGATTTTAATCCTGTATATAAAATAAAATGTCACAATGAGTTTGGGCATATTTAATGGTGGTCATGGAGCCCTCGAGGTCTTTAATCATTGATTGGGCTGCTTTGATGTAGTCTGTCTAGGCTGGAAATGGTTTCACTTGCTCTTGGACTTCAGCAAGACTGAGGACAGCTTTGCCCGGATGGCCAGCAAACACACAATCCTGTAGGTCTCTGTACCCATCCCAGCCATGGGTGCAGCATGCCTCTGGTGAGGCTGACAGCCACCTAACAGGATCCTGATGGAACTGGGGACTCCAACGTGGAACTCTTCTTTGCTGCATTCCTTTTTCTTCACTTACAAGAAAGGCCTGAATGGAGGACTTTTCTATGACCAGGAGCATTTTTTAGGGGTCAAAGTGCTAATTATTAACTCAACCAGGTCTACTTTTTAATGGCTTTCATAACACTAACACCTAAGGTTACAGAACAATGTGTTTCAAATGGATATAGACCTAGGGCTCTGGAGGGTGGGGGGTTAAAACAACACACATGCAAAAAAAAAAAAAAAGAAATTTTGTATATATAACCATTTTAATCTTTTATAAAGTTTTGAATGTTCATGTATGAATGCTGCAGCTGTGAAGCATATACAAATAAATGAAGTAAGCCATACTGATTTAATTTATTGGATGTTATTTTCCCCAAGACCTGAAATTGACATAGTGTGCTAGTTATTTTCAGTGTTAGCCTTTCTGCTTTGCTCACACAGTTTGGAACCATAGAATATAGGTATTTTGTCCCTGATTCAATAGTGTGATGGATAGAACGCAACAAGTGTTGATTTTGAAGAGTGGAAAATGTATAGCTTTTAGCAAATGGTGTTTGCCTATCCTAAGCAAGGAGTGTATTCGTAGGAGTAGTGCAGGCGTGTCTTCCTGCTAGGTGGAATGTGTGTGTGGACATTTCTCCCCATCTCTTCCCACTCTGGTATTTCCCCATTATTTGAATAAAGTGATTGCTGAAGATGACTTTGAATCCTTATCCACTTAATTTAATGTTTAAAGAAGAGCTTCTGATGGAAAGAAGGACTCCTCATCAGTTAGAGCGACTTTGAGAAAAGTAGACAATAAATAAAATGCAGATAGAAGAGTAGAACAAGAGGAGACACAGGATGGCCCAACCTTGATTCTTTTTCATGAAACCTCCTTGGCTAGAAGGAGTGATTGTAGCTACAAAAATTCAGGGTCTTTCAGCAGGTTCCCTTGGTTGTTGCATTAACGGTAATCCGTATGTAGGTATTCTAGTACACAGAACAACACTGTGTTGACCTGTTAGGTTTTTATTTTCCTTTCTCATTACAATGCACATAATGGTTTCCTGTATTTATATTATAACGTGTATAGTGTAAAATGTGAATGACTTTTTTGTGAATGAAAATCTAAAATCTTTGTAACTTTTTATATCTGCTTTTGTTTCACCAAAGAAACCTAAAATCCTTCTTTTACTACACTGTGACTGGTCTGGTTATTTACAACTTTAAATCCAAATGTGCACCAATATTTTTCCATTCTGTTTCTATCATGGAGAGGAAGCTGCTGGTTAGGATGAAATGCTTTTTGTTGCTAGCAAAGAAATGATTATACATGTAGCTGTAAAAATTGAGACAGTAATTCTGATAGTGTTTTAATCTAAATTATATGCATTATTCTCACATATGAAAGAAGTATGTGATAGGAAAAGTGATAGTTCACATGAGAGAATGCTTCCTGTGCTCCAGGATGAATGTTTTACATGTATAATATCATGACAAGCCTATGATAGACTTGCCATGACTATCTGATTGGTGAGGGATAGATACAGAGAGCTCAAGTTATTTGTCCAATGTAACATAGTATGTGCAGTGGAAGCAAGTAATCTCTAGATCCTGCATGATATTCCAGAAAAATAAAAAAATTGTCATCTTGGTGGTTTTACTGGCAGACAATCATACCTAAATAGTTATTGGTAGATGTCAAAAGCATCAAGTTTCCATCCAGTCAGGTATTCATCATTCACGATTTACCAAGTATTTAACATTTGCCAGGCACTGTGACAGGCCCTGACGATTCAGCAGTGAATGAGCTAAGTATAAAATTTTTATGCTGTCTGCATCCCAAGGGAGTTATGTTGAGCCCTTTCTATTCAATATCTCTATTGATAATCTGAAAGAACAAATCCATTATATGTTCTGTAGTTGTATGGAAGATATCAAAAAGGTTAAAGGTGATTGAAGATTATTTGGGTGTTCTTTCTTGAAATGTTGAAACCATACAAGGAGTTGAGCATGAATGGATATAGAAGATTCTTTTCCTTTCTGAGCTAGTCCTTTTTTGTGTACAGTCTATCATGTTATTTACACAGAACTTGAAATAGGGACAATCCAAGGGAGATAAGAATCCACATGACTTGTGCATATGCAGCCTCCTTAGATGTACAAGCCTGATGTTTACTGTTGGATTTGGGTATGAATATTACTGGAAACGGAGTGAGAAGTTCAAGGAGACTTGCATTACTTGTCAACCAGAGGTGGCTCTATTCATCTTCCAACATGAAGATGCTGTCGGGGAACAATGTGCCCCTGCCATGAGGGCTGTTTAGGAGCAGAGGGGCCTTCAGGGCAGCCGAGATGCAAAGGAGGTAGAAGTGATTATATAGGGAGAGATACACCATCTTCATGTGAAAGCAAGCAGACATTTTCTGATCTTCAGTGACCTTTCAGTTATAGAACCAGGAGTAGGAATTAGCCATGAGCTATTTGCCCAGAAATCATGTATCCCATGCAATAATTTTATGGAGTTTGCAAATTAACAGAAAAGATGAAATCGATTGCCAAAAAGTTTAGGCTGGCTTTGTGCATATCTGCCAAGAGCCTATGAAAGAAAATATATCCCAGATAAAGACAAAAGATGTGAATGTTAAGTGGATATAGACTAAATGATGATTACAACATTTTAAATGTGTTTCTTGTTATGTTACCTAAGAACATGCAGTAAAGTGGGTTTTGACAAAAAAGGCCCACAGTGATGTGTGAGCACAGATATTTGTGATCTTTCATTTTACTCACGTTTGCTAAACAAATCAGAATTCACCCAAATGAATCTTTTCTAAAACAAGTCTAAACAGAAAGTTTATAAAGGTCTTTGAATGAGTCATTCAAGATTGTATAATCTTTTCCCATTATTACTCACTTCTGTATGTTTAGATCCCAGCTGGACAAGAGGGAACAAATGCCAAGACAGAACAAGAATGGTTTTGTCAGGGTGTTTACAGAATAAGCAGAGCCCGGGTTTTAATTGGAATTTAATTCAGAGTTCTCTCTGAGACCATCAAATGGTCCCTGCTGAGGATTACAAGTCTACTGCCTTAGGCAATAAATCTTAAATCATTTCCGATAGTGTTTACTCTAAAATAAATTTTAAAAGCATGTACCACTCACATTTTTAGTTATCAACACTTTTTTCATCATAAAGTTAAACATAGAGGATGTTATTTTTGGTGTTTTTAAATATTACCCTTCTGAAATAAACATGTAACATCACTCTTTCAGATATATTCAGTGAACTCTAAATATCATGGTGGTTTGATACCTATCACCACCCTTGTAAAAATACTTGAAAAAATACTCTTCAGTCAGAAATTTTATATTTATTTTCTTTTTTTTTCATTTTTTCATTTCAGTTCCCCCCATGAAATTTTATCAAAATGTAATACATTTATGTGCTTGAAAGTTTTCTATTGATTAAACTATCAAACATATATGATCAAAATTTGAAAATTAATTTTTTCTTATGAACATAATGCTTTAAAAGTTAAAGTTTTCCTGGATTGGGTTATTGTCATTTACTGATATACAATTAAATAAAACAGTATGAAGCTATTATAACATTTGAAAGGTAATTATAAACATTGTAAAATGTTATTAGAAATAGATCTTAATGAGATAATTAAGGCTATTATTCCCAATTCTTGCCTCCATAGATAAATATCAATTAAAACTAGACGGTGGCATGGCGTAGCACATCTACTCTATTTTGTTTTTATAGATTTAAACACTGAGAAATGTGTTTACATAAACAAGTAGATGAAAATGATAGTTTTATTTTGCAATGCTACTCAACTTTTTAAGCTCTTTCTGAGTTATATGCCAAAAATCACAGTGATCTATCAAGTTATTTTTCAGTTACCTCTCAGCTAACATCTCAATGGAATCTTCCTTAATTTTTTTTTTAATACCTGATTTGAAGAAGGATTTGTCACACTGTCTTTGGAATCTTTTGAATTGTCTTTGTTTAGTTTTTGCATTCCATGGTAATGTATCCTAAATCTCAGAATGGCTAAGAGGTGTGTTTCATGTGGTATGTGTGTTTTCTCTTTAATAAAGTATAAAAAGGACAATTGTCTAAAGTATTTGGTTCTCAAAGTTTGTTCCCTGGAATAGCAACATTAGTACCACTTAGGAACTTATTTAAAAATGCAAATCCTCAGAGCCTCCCTAATGAATGAGAAATTATGAGAGTAGGGGCAACGTTGGTTTTGCAAGCTCTGAGGATGATTCTGATGCATTCTAATGTTGACCAGCACTAGAAACAAGGCAGATGCAATAGTTGGACCAGCAGCCTCCACCACAGACAACTTCATAGGCAAATGGGTTTCATGGAAGAGTCCAGATGGAAGTGAAAGTTCTAAAAATGGCTTCACTTTGTATGTCCATGTGCCTCTGGGGGAGTCTTGGGAACTCCAAGGGAAGGTGGCCTTGGTTTGGAAAACCCTGCTTTAAGATACAGAGTCCTTAGATCACTTTCAGATTTTAAGGTGTCATCAGTCCATGTTTGTGAGCATGTGTCTGGTGGTGATTACTTTTCAACCTCCAAATGGGCCTCCGGTTTTATAAGAACAAAGTGAGAAACCCTTCATGGGGGAAATTGAAGAAAGCAGCGTGACTGAAAGACCTGAAAGATTAGAAAGACCATTTCTTAAGGACCTGAAACTACATTTTAAATGCAAGAATTAATACTAATTTAAAAACTGAAAAATAGAAGCAAAGATATGTTGTAACTTCCCAACAAGAGTCAGCCAGGAAAAGGAACTTGAAATTCAAAGATGAGCTCTAAAAGTGGTCCAGGTGAAAGAATCCTTTGGAGTGAGTTGATTTCTGAATTACACCAGTTCCTAGATCAGATCACCCTGCCCCATGTTCATTAGTCAGATTGAACACCCGATCCATTCAATAGTCTGTACTGAGCTCTTACTGTGTTCCAGGCACTAGGTTAGATGCAAGGGATACTCTGTCCTTAGGGAGCTGACAGCCTGATGGAAGGATTAGTCATGGCATTATAGTTAGAAGAAATATGATTTTTCAGAAAGTTGTTGTTATACTTTCTGTTCTTGGCCATCTCTGTTCTGGTCTCCATTTTTGCCTAATTCCATTCACAGCCATGGCTTTACGTGCTTCCTACTCCCTGCTCCCTATTAAACCTTCCATGTCTAGTTGGTTGGATTCCATAGGGACATACAGCTCTTTATCTTTCAAATTGAACTTTTATCCACCTCTCTTCCCAACTGTGCTAGTCCTTTTTGATTGCTATAAAGGAATACCTGAGGCTGGTAATTTATAAAGAAAGCAGGTGTATTTGTCTCACAGTTCTCCATGGTGCCAGCATCTGCTGGGCTTCTCATGAGACCACGGGAAACTTTGGCTCATGGTAGAAGGTAGAGAGGGAATAGATGTGTCACATGGTGAGAGCAGAAGTGAGAGAAGGAGGAGATGCCAGGCTCTTTTAAACAATTAGTTCTCCTGTGAACTAATAGAGTGAGAACTCATTACCTCAAAAACAGCACCAAGACACTCATGAGGGTTCCCCACCATGACCCAATCGCCTCCTACCAGGTCCTGCCTCCGATATTGGGAATCACATTTCAACATGAGATTTGGAGGGGACAAACATCTAAACCATGTTTAATCTCTTTATCTTCCTCTCTCTCTCTTTCTTTCTCTCTCTCTCTCTCTTTCTTTCAACTAGTAGCCTAAGGGTCATTCTAGTTCCTAAGTCAATGTCTATATTCAGTCAATTACAAATCCTAGTAATTCTACCTGTAAAAGTTTCTCATATCCATCCTTTTCTCTCTATCCCAACTGTCCTCAATGTAAAGACTTACTATCTCTAGATGCACTGCTTCCCAAATTATTTTTCAAACCACTGCAGAGTATTCTTTAAGGTGTGCAAAACAGAGCTTGGCATTCCCCAGCACAGAAGTCAGAACCTAATGCTACAAAATAGATTCTAATGTTATAGACATGGAACTTACTTACCTGTTTAATCTAATGTTCTGCAAAATGCTTTGGGAGGAAAAAAAGACTATTCCAGGTATTGATTTAGAAATCTTAAGCAGAACAACTCTCAAATTTAAATTTTAGTGTTTTTAATTATGTCAGTTTGGTTTCTTGTTCAGTCTCTGATCAAAAGCC